CTCGTCTCCGTATCGTAAGAAAGTTCCTTTGGCTAATCCCGGAGTTGTGAATAACATAAAAGGAAAGATGTTTGGTTCTTCTAATGCTTTTGGACAATCCTCCAATAGCAGTCTAAGTCTATTTGGAAGCCAAACTCAATATGTGTTTGGTCAGACCAATAACGCAAGTAGTAACCCCTTTGCTCCGAAACCCTTTGGCGCACAAACAGGAAGTTCAACCGGTGTGTTTGGTCCACCTCAAGCTTTCTCCTCTTTTGGTGCTTCATCACAAACGTTTGGGAGCTCTACTTTAGCTTTTGGTGGTTTTGGACACAACAAGTCTTTTGGCTTCTCAATGCCTCAGTCAACTACTTTCGGAAGCACCATACAACAATCACAGTCTGCATTTGGCAACAATGCTTTTAGTGCATCAAGCACGCCTGCCTTTGGCAACAATGCTTTTGGCTCTGGTGGTGCATCAGGTATTCCTACTTTTGGGCCATCAAGTACCCCATCTTTTAGTTTTGGCTCTGGAAGTGCATTGAGTACTCCTACTTTTGGGGCATCAAGTACTCCATCTTTTAGTTTTGGCTCTGGAGGTGCATCGAGTACTCCTACTTTTGGGGCATCAAGTACTCCATCTTTTAGTTTTGGCTCTGGAGGTGCATCGAGTACTCCTACTTTTGGGGCATCAAGTACCCCATCTTTTAGTTTTGGCTCTGGGGGTGCATCTACTCCTACTTTTGGGCCATCAAGCACCCCATCTTTTCGTTTTGGATCCTCCCCTGCTTTTGGACAGTCTACCTCAGCATTTGGTAGCACTTCCTTTGATTCTACACAACCACCGTTTGGAGCCCTAGGAGCACAGGCTTCGACCCCAACGCTTGGAGGTCAACAAGTGGGTAGTAGGGTCATACCTTATGCACCTACAACTGAGGGCGGTGGTAACCAACCTGGTGGGAAGCTAGTATCTCTATCTGCTAAGGATGTATACAAAAATAAAACCCATGAGGAGCTTAGGTGGGAGGACTACCAGCGAGGAGATAAAGGTGGCAAACTTCCTACCGGTCAATCTCCTAGACCAACTTCATCAACTACCACATCCTTTTTTGGACCATCCCCTGGTTTTGCAACAACCACGACGCCGCCATTTGGTTCATCGAGCATTCCCGGATTTAGCTCTTCTCCATCAATTTTTGCTTCAACTCCAGCATTTAGCATTGGTTGGAATTTTAGCAACAGTCAGTCATCTCCGTTGTTTAGTTCAAACCCCTCATCTGGACAAACTAATAGTGGTTCTAAATTTGGACAGACTAGTTTTGTGTTTGGACAGAATACTAATCCTGCATTTGCCCAAACTAACAATATCAGTATACCTTCCCCTGGATCCGGGACTCTGTTCTCAAGCTCTTCATCCTTAACTAGCAGCAACTCTCCTCCCTTTGGTCAAACACCAGGTGGTTTTGGTTTCAACAACTTTGGTCAAACCCAAATAGCTAATCCAACTGGCCTTACATGTGCAATGGAAACTTTCAATCAAAGCAACTTTGAACAAGTGCCTGCCTCGGCTAACTCTCTTGTTATGCAACAACCAATCCCTGTTACAAACCCATTTGGAACGGTTCCTCAAGGTGGAAAATCAACTTGGATTCAGTATGGAATCTCCAGCATACCTGTCGTTGATAAACCTTCTCCTGTTAGAATATCACAACCACTCCTGACTTCTCAAAGGCGGGTCTGGACTACCAAGCTACCTGCAAGAAAGTATCGTCCTGGCGATGATGGTCCCAAGGTTCCATTTTTTCAGTGATGAAGAGGACAACTCCAAGAACTAGCTGCCAAGGAAAAAGGTTTATAGCAAGCTTGTAGAAAGATCGAAAGCCGTTGTGTCTTGGTTTTTTGGTTTTATGTTTTTGTTGGTTTGTCTAATTAGTCTGTCTTTATGCTTTCACCTCAACTTCTCTTATATATCAGTCTTAAATTCTTAATACCAAAATTGTGTTCGTTCGTTCTTGATTTGATAAAATTTACAGAAGCTATGGTTTAGTG